TAGTCAGAGTCTGACTATCAATAATCAACAGCCACTACGGTCTGTGGCCCTGTCAATCCGGGGTGTTTTTTTCCACTACCACCCCCTTCCTTCAGGTCTACTTACCAAGCAAGCAGCTACACGCTGGCCGACAGACAACAAGCTTCATCCTCGTCCAACTATCGTATGCCTCTCTTCCTTGCACAAAATTCATACCTCGCTTACTCGTACTCGAATTCTTCCTCTCTTACGAGAAAACATTGAACTCTGTTTTGTTGCGCATCTCATCTAAGCATTGAAGCCTAATCCTCCGAGCCTCTGTGACTTTGACCGCTACGAGATGAGCCTACGCAATGGAGTCCACTCGGAACGATAATCCCCTCTACTTCTTCTTTCCCTCCCCTCTGCTAGTCTGCTTCCTCTGTCTGCCTCTGCTTTGACAACTGTGTTCACGCACTGCATGCTGCGCCTTCACTAGGCTACTGCTTTTCTCAGTTACAGTTCACATAGCTCACTTTTTATCTCCTGACTATCACAATGCATTGAAGTAAAAATTCCGGGGGAAACCCACATACGTACTGTATCAATTCTACCTTACTACTTATGTATCGCTCGTTCCCACTTCCTCGGCCTTGAATTAGGTCGCAGGTAGAGAAAAGAAGGAAAGGACTCCGTACACCCGTCCAAACCTGCCAGCCAGTCCGCCAGTATGGCCAACATCATCTGGCTCGCCCTCGTCCTCGTGGCGTTGAGCGTCCACGTCCAAGCCAAAGACGTCTTCGCGCATTTCATCGTCCGTTTCCCCCCATCACCCAATTCCTACCAAACTCCACTCACTAACTCTCCTCTCAGCTTGCCAATGCCGAAAACTTCACCCAAGCGCATTGGACACGCGACATCACCGCCGCCAAAGATGCTCAAATCGACGCCTTCGCCTTAAACACCGGCTATGGCGCCGCCAACACCGACCAGCTCCTAACAGACGCCCTCACCGTCGCAGCAAAACATGACTTCAAGCTTTTCCTGTCCCTCGACTACTCCGGCGACGGTCATTGGCCTCCCGACCAAGTCCTGAAAGTTTTGCAAAGCTACGCCAATCACACGGCTTACTACCTCATCGACAACCAACATCCATTGGTCTCCACCTTCGAGGGCTACGAATCCCTGTCTGATTGGTCCACCATCAAGAAAAAGTTACCCAATATCTATTTCATGCCCGAATGGTCCGTCCGAACCCCCGAGCAACTAGCAAGCGAAGACGTCGTGGACGGGTTACTCTCCTGGAGCGCATGGCCATACGGGACGGCGCAGATGAACACGTCCACAGACGAAGAGTATATCTCCGCCCTGAAACCCAAAGGCAAGCCGTACATCATGCCCGTCAGCCCGTGGTTCTACACCGACATGGTACGGTACCACAAGAACTGGGTATGGCAGGGCGATGGGCTGTGGCATACGAGGTGGAAGCAGGTGCTTGACTTACAGCCGCAATATGTGGAAATTCTTACGTGGAACGACTTCGGCGAGTCGCATTACATCGGCCCGCTGCACGAGAACGAGCTAGGGATATTTTCGTTCGGGCAGGCGCCGTTTAACTACGCGTCCGGGATGGTGCATGATGCGTGGCGGATGTTTCTTCCGTACATTGTGGGTGAATATAAGAATGGGAGTGGCAAGGGCGTGATTGAGAAGGAAGGGGTGGTGGTGTGGTATAGAGTTACGCCGGCATGGGCGTGCAAGGCCGGCTTAACTACGGGTAATTCGGTCACGCAGGGCCAGCAGACCGTACCGCCGGGGCAGGTCTTGAAGGATGAAGTGTTTTTCCAGGCGTTGTTGGAGGATACTGCGGAAGTGGAAGTGAGTATTGGTGGTGGGGAGAATAAGTCCGTGGACTGGTTGGATACACCGAGTGGTGGGAGTGGTGGTGGTGGGAGGGGATTGTATTTTGGGAGTGTGCCGATGGATAATCGCACAGGTGAGGTTGTGGTTACGTTGAGTAGGGATGGGAAGTTTGTGGCGCAGATGATTGGAGAGAAGATTACGACGCAGTGTCCGGATAAGTTGACGAACTGGAATGCGTGGGTGGGCACGGCAATGTCGAATGTGTCGAATGCTAGTACGTCGCGTGCATCGTTGTCGGAGGAGAATGTTGCGGCTGGTGTGAGGATTGGAGGAGGACGTGGGATGGCCATGTGGATGGGGGTGTTGTGGACGATCTTGATGGTGGGTATTAGTGGAGTTTTGCTTTAGATCTTTTTTCCGTTTTAGAGTCTCGATCGATCTTCATATCTCGATATACTGGTAGTAATATCTAATATCTTGGACTATTTCTTGATTTTAGTGGAGCATGTAATTCTGCACGGGGGACTTTCCGAGAGCCCTAGGTGAGGCTTGTAGGTGTGATCTGCCCAAGGTTAGGGCTGCTGGAGTAAACCGATCGAATGGGTCTGCGGCTCTGAGGTGGATGAGGAAGCCTTGATTCAGAGCAGAGAGCGATTACCGCAAGTGGAAGAATAGAGAGTTGAGCTTGACTCAATCTCATAGGCGTTTCGGCGTCGCCGAAGGACGTGCACGGGCTGGTGGGAACGAAGAGGCTTGGTTCTTGATTCTTATGGGTGGATTTTGGGATTTTGCCATTCGGGGGGGGGAACATTAGATAATCTACACTCCCCCGTCCCTGCTGGGCCATGTGGGATGTGAAGGTGATCGTCGCTGGTCATGACTATACTATACTCAATAGAGTCTGGTGTTGATATCAGTTTGGAGATATGAGCCTCATGTTGGAGAAAATGGCGATTCTAGTTCTTGGACCATGCTGCAGATTATGGCGATCTGGGGTATTCACTTATCCACTTGATCGAGATTCTGGACAGAGGCCTGGGCCGTTGCTAGATTGACTGCATGTTTGTTCATGTCCTATGGCATGTCGTCCGTCTATGACAAGCATATTCGCCCTGGATACGAGCATATTTGTCAAAACATATCAGGATAGCTCACTACCCTTAGAGATGTAGTATATACCATATGACAGTCGGAGCAGCAACATCTAGTCTCTACTTTGACCTGCCCTATTGGGGCAGAAGACACAGGGCAGCAGGTTATCCCAATAGCACAGGAGTATTAGGCTTTACTCGGTCTTTGTTGAAAATCAAATTGTCCAATGATTAAAGAGACTTCAGCATTTCCGACCCCAGTCTCACGAGGCAGTGCCCGAACTCGGCCCATCAGCGGCCGTTATTCCAAGTCAATGACGCAAAGACCAAACTCTGCTCGCCACCGGCCGGCGACACCGGTGCCCTAGCTTTTCCACGTCTGGGGTTCGGCCGGTGCCCAGCAAGACTCGGCGCTGGCTAGACGCACCTTATTGTATTGATTGCACTTTGACAGCTCTTGGGACCTTATCATGCCTTCTTCACGGCCGATGAGTGGGCCTTCGGACTCGGCCGCCAGTGGCAATGGCCTAGACTCCACCAGCCCTGCGCAAAGTATGCAAGTGCGAGCTATCTTCAGAACTCAGAAGTTGCTGGTCCAGGGGAGAAGTATAAAGATTGCCCTGATTCCTGCCCCTGATCTGGAAGTCAGATTACAACCAGAACAATCAAACTCGCACATCACATCAATATCCTTAATGCAATAACACGACGACTACGTATAACCACCACTACCTCCCAGTGCGATTATCACCAGCACTCCTCTACATCAATTACCTCCTCGACACTTATTCTTCACAACGTCAAACACAATGGCCGGTATCGAACTTCCTCCTTACCTGATGCGTCAGGCCACCCGCACCAACAGCCGTATTCCTCCCATGGCTCGTCGCTCCGTCTCTCCCTTCCCCACTCGCATGGCCGCTCTCTCCCGCGACAAGCTTCACAAGGAAGCCTCTACAAAGAACCCCGATCTGCGCCGATGCCTTGCTCACCACACTCTCCTCAACCGCTCCATTGAAGCCGCCCAGCAAGACGTGCGTCGGCGCATGGCATCCTTCCACCTTGAGGAAGAAGACGATGATGACTTCACCACCTCCTACCACTCTACACCAAATGAGGCTACAGCTGTGCCTCTCATCCGGGTCCAGATCACCAATGCTGTGCGGGCTATGGTCAAGCGTCGTGCCGCAGATAGCCAGCAGAACAACCAGCTGAATGGGCTGACGCGGGTGTCGGCAAATGCAGACAAGGCGGGTGCTTCGAACAACAACAGCAGCAGTAGTACGAGGAGTCTGAAGAGAGTCCCTCGTGTGGTCTTCGGTCGGCGTCGCTGGCCTTTGTATGGAGCGGTGCCACTGCAGACTGGATTGGTTAGCTGACACGGCGATGGTTGCAGCATTCATAGTGTGGCTTCGTGACGGGCTACGGCTGGACCTCGCCTTTGGCATCCCTGTTTTGTTCTCTTCATTCATCGATATATTCTTCTACTGTATGACTTTATTTTTTCCTCATTCCTAGGACGGACAGGATGCCTTGTGTCACGTGCAACAGATATGATGGGTCTTGTATATAATAATTGTCTATTACACTACACTATACTATACTATTTAGAATACGTCATACATTATACATTCATCCATTCTATGACACTTCCATAGTAAACACCAATTGATTTACATACACCAATTGATTTACAACCACAAGCGCAGTGTAGACTACCAATGACCCACGCCGCCCGATCTTAATCGCTGATTGCTGCACATCCATCACTAGTCGCCGATCAGTCTCACTCATCCGACCCGCTCCGCCCAATCAATCCCCTCACCCTATCCTAATCAGGCAATTCAGCTCTGCAGTTCAAATCTCAGCCGCATTCCAAACCCACAATGCCCCCAGCTTATAATAATGCCTCCCAGCCCCCACGATCGCATTCTTTTAATCTTCCTATCCTCCCCCTCTCCGGAATAAAATCAAAAAATCGGTAAAAAAAAATGCCACAATGGATCCCCCCGGCCCAATTCCTCGCTATCCAGCTCCTAACCGGCACCACTGTCGCCTTCACCCCGGCTAATTCTCCCCTCCGACCAATTGCCTCCCTCCTCGTACTCGTCCTCGCCTACTGCATGCAAATCAGCGCAAATGCCCACCTCCACGGCACCCGCTTCGGCGCTCCGCTCGTCGCAATGTGTTGGATGAACGTTCTCAACGGGATAGATTTACTGGTTCTCACGCGCGCGGACTACGATAAACAGCTAGCGTACAACAACACAAAGCTGAAGCAAACATCCGACAAATCACCAAATAAACCACAAAGCAAATCCCTCCTCAAAAAATACCTCTGGTCCCTAAACCTCTCCTTCAACTACCGCCGCATCAACACCCCCTGGCAAATCCGCGCTCTCACCACGTTCAACAAGATCCCAACTCGGACCCAATTCCTCCTCACCTCCCTCCTCAAACTCACCATCTCCATCGCAATCATCCAGCTCCTCACACTCGAGACCACCGATCCGTATCTCGGCCGCGCAGTGGATAAATTACCCGTTCGACCGGACGAGATTATGCTCCCGTTCTGGTATCATAGTGGCTGGGGCAAAGATGACCTCGTGCTTAGATTCCTCTTCACTCTCTCGTTTGGAATCGTGGCGCGTGCGTTCATTGTCGGGGGATATACCTCTGCCGCGGTGGTAGCTGTAGCATTGGGCCAAGAGCCGAGTATGTGGCCGCCTGTCGGGGGTGGATTGCTGGATGCATGGTCGATTAGGAGGTTCTGGGGGTATGCATACACTCTACTCCCTTTTATTATTCATGCCTTATACTAACGAAGTATGCAATACTACAGAAAAACATGGCACCAAACCCTCCGCCAACTCCTCTGCTCGAACGCCGACTTCGTCTCGGGATCTATTTTGCGTCTTCCGGTCCGATTCCAGTGGTGCTTCAGGGTAATTTTCGCATTCATTGTTTCGGGTTTAGTGCACACGGGCATGGATGTAGGGTTCGGGGTGCGGATTGATGAGAGCGGGGCATTGTGGTTCTTCGCGTTACAAATTCTGGGTGTGGCGGGGGAGATGCTCGCTGAGGTGTTGTTGGCTCCTGTGAGTGTGTTTGTGTCGAGAGGACTTAGACGTGGGATTGGCTTTATTTGGGTAGCGGTTTTCATGATGTGGACTTTGCCGGTGTGGATTTATCCTATTTTGGTCCAGTTGTATGGAGATGGCGTGCGCATGATGAGCCCATTCTTGGGGTTTGAGGGATGGGATATTTGATTTGGTTTTGGATTGCATAGCGTTGGGGTTGGGTATTTTTGTTATGTTAATTATATTAGATTTATTAGATGTATAGTAGGGATACTAATGGTGGGTGTAAACTATAATGCTGCGTCCCAGTCTACCCATGCGAATGTATTCAACAGGTCGAGATGGGGGTCTGCGCCTATAAGGTCCGGTAGCGCGTCTAGGGCTCTCGTCGGACTTTGTAGCGATGCCGGCATGCTGAGGATTCGGTCCAGTGAGCGTTGCAATATTCCCTTGATTTGCGCCTTGGCTGCGATGTCGGATTCGGAGGGCCGGAGCCAGTCGAGAAAGGCGACCAGCACACTGAGATTCTGGATGATGTCCGATCGGGGAAGCTCTAAGGTGTATGTTTCGGGGGAGCTGGATTGACGGAGAAGCTCGAGGCAGAGGATGCCGCTGCCTGGGACGGCGTAGGACATAGCCTGACATGCTGGCTCAGTATGGAGTAGATGTATTTATTGGAAAGGGGTGGAGTATCGTACCAACCAGGAGAAATCAACGTGGTTCTCGAACCGGTCCTTGTGCTTCCAATATATCAGGGTTAATCCTACCATTTCATGGCTAACCTGGATCAGAGTTTGTTCGTCGACCACTCTGTGTCGGGTCACAAATCTCTCTAGGATGAACAGGTTGAGTAAAAAGTCCAGGCGCACAAGAACGCGCAAGGCGAGCAGCTGGCCGGGGATGTCGCGGTCGTGGATGTCTTCTGTCTTGAACTTGATGACCTCAGGAAACTGTGCATAGATGTCTGTAGCTTGTCCTTTGAGTTGACTGTTTGCTTGTCAGAATTTGTGGGTGATTAGGGGTGTATCTTGGGTTGAGGGCATACAGGCATGTTTGTACTGCAGCGTCAGTGATGCTATCCTGAGAAGTCTCTAATACTTCTAGCATCTCTTCGCGGTTCCTTGCTAGCATTGCGCGCGCTCTTAGGATTGTGGTTGGATACGGTTGTCGATCCACACTGCTGTCCCAACCATCAGAGTTGAGCTTGGCTACGGCATTGCCAATCCTGTCGGAAAATATATCCTCGTCGTTAATATCCAGGGGCAACTGAGTTGTCGAGTATTTTCTGTTCAGAAGCGGTGGTCTTCCGGTGAAGGTAGAGATAACCTTGTCGAAATTGTAAATCGATGCGTAGACGCGTCGTTTGAGTTCGTGCTGGAAAGAGACCTCCTTCCAGTCGGACGACAATTCCCGGTGAAGACCAATTGATGTTGTGACTGCAATCACATCGCCATGTTGTCGCCAACATGAAAGACCTGTTGATCAGCTGTGTGTTCTCTGTGCAGATATCCTAAGCAGGACTTACTCTTATCACCGCTGGCAATGCTCTCAAGGATGTTATGCTTGAATGCCAAATTTACAAAGAGAATGTTAATAGCACCCAGCTGGCTACACAGCTCGATGCACATAGATGCACAGCGTTTAAAATGCACCATGAGTTCTTTGGGCCCCTTGAATGCATGTTGTCGACAGTACTGAGTAATGACATCGTGTTGCACCGGCAACTGTGAAGCCGCAGACGACCAAATAGTGAACAATGACCCTAGCAGCTCCCAGCGCGTTCTCTTTCCCGAGAAAGACTCGATCCAGCGGTGTGGATTCTGTTCAGCCGGCAATGGCGTGAGACTGCACTCTGAAAACCGCCTCGCAACATATTGTAGGTGCTCGCTGTTTCGCAGCCGGAGCACATCTCGATACTCATCCCACATCTTATCAGAAGCGATCCGATAAGCTGGCCGGAAGCAGGCATCCATTAAGGCCATTGGATGGACGAAGAGCAAGTTGCAGGTTAGCTCATCCGGCAGGTTCTGTAGGATCTGGATCCCCAGTTGGAGCATTCTCGGTGTGATGGTAGGGTTCCCCGGCTGAGTGGAACTTAGCACCTCGACGCGATTGATGTCTTTGCTGGCTGGAATCCTCAGTGCTTGGTCCACTTCGAATCGATCCCGATGTTCCACGAACACGGATGCGAAACTCGTGGGCCCCAGGTACTCGGCTGAGCTTTCCAGTATTGGCGTGGTCGACTGTGCTCCAGGGCAGGTCTTAGTGCTTGGGGGCCCATCGCTCTCATTGCTCAAGGCAGTCGGCGACTCAGCCTCAGGCAGGCTTCTTGCTCTGTCTTTACTGAGGGGATTGGCGAGATAGACGCATTTCAAGGACAATCGCCGACACCGCTGGCAAGCGGGGGTTTCGTGGTCGCAGGCCAATTTGCGCCGGCGGCATGCCTCACACGCAGGCTCTCGGCCATTCTTTCTCCTGAGAGCGGGCATGGAATAGATCGGAGTAGCCGTTACTCCCAGATGAGAAGAAACACATCGTTACTTGCGATGGTGTTGTCAGATGTAGATAGTAGATGGCTAATGTGGACGGAATCGGCTTCGGCTTCGGCATGGATCGGACTTCAAAAGTGGG